GCTCGTGACCCCTATCTCGCGCGCATCGGCCAAGCAGCGCGCGGGTCGTGCCGGTCGTACGCGGCCTGGCAAGTGCTTCCGGCTGTACACGGAGAAGGCGTTCAAGCAGGACCTCATTGAGCAGACATACCCCGAGGTGCTGCGGTCGAACCTGAGCAACACCATTCTGGAGCTGAAGAAGCTGGGCGTGGACGACCTGGTGCACTTTGACTTTATGGACCCGCCACCGCCAGAGACCATGATGCGCGCGCTCGAGGAGCTCAACTACTTGGCGTGCCTGGACGACGAAGGCGAGCTGACGCAGCTCGGCAACTTGGCGAGCGACTTCCCGCTGGACCCGTCGCTGGCCGTGATGCTAATCACATCGCCCGAGTTCTACTGCTCCAACGAGATTTTGTCAATTGTATCGTTGCTGTCGGTGCCGCAGCTGTTTTTGCGACCGGCCGCGGCGCGTAAGCGGGCAGACGACGCTAAGGCGCAGTTCACACATCCGGACAGCGACCACCTGACGCTCCTCAACGTGTACCACGCCTTCAAGGGCGAGGAGCTCAAGGGCACGACGGACATGCGCAAGTGGTGCCACGAGTGGTTCTTGTCCTACCGGCACCTGTCGACGGCGGACGACGTGCGGACGCAGCTCAAGTCGTACATGGAGTCGCACGGCATCGAGCTGGTGAGCACGCCGTGGGGAGACAGGGACTACTACACCAACATCCGGCGGGCGCTGGTGTCGGGCTTTTTCATGCAGGTGGCGCACCGGCAGGCGACGGGCAAGATCTATCGCACGATCAAGGACAACCAGCCGGTGATCATCCACCCGAGCACGGGCTTGTCGACAGATTTCGAGTGGGTGGTGTACAACGAGTTTGTGCTTACGAGCAAGCAGTACATCCGGACGGTTACGGGCGTCAAGCCGGAGTGGCTGCTGGACATTGCGCCCAACTACTACGATCTGTCGTCGTTTGACGAAGGCGAGGCCAAGATTGCGCTCAAGCGCGTGGCCGACAAGATCAAGCGGAGAGAGGCCGTGCGGTCTGCATGATTCGACATCTTTTTTTGAACTGGATTTATGTTTGTTGAATGTTTGTATCGGCGTGTTAAACAGGGCTCATTTTATCAAGGTTTTTTTTATTTGCATGTCTTGTATCTTGTTGTCCATTGGCCCAGGAAAAAGAAATAAGGACACATCGGGGTGGGAGCACAGCGAGTGCAACCAAACAATAGACATCTTATTTAATATTGCTCGCCGAAAATTCATGTGCTCACGAAAATGAGCGCGATGAAAGAAGAGATGAGATGCCCGAACCGAGTGCTACGTCCTCGTCGACCCAGCCTCGATGTGGAGTCTCCTGGCAGTAAATGCAACGCGAGCATTTGATGAGAGTACACTTGATGAGAGTACATATGTGCATATACCGTTTTGAGCAAACAGTACATACGAAGTACAACGCACAACCTGGTACACGGAGATACAGGTAGTGGAGGCTTCCGCCGTTGAGAAACTCGATGGGTATGGCATAATGTGTTGTATCATGAACTCTTTGTTCTACGCCGCGCCATATATGCATCCCGTACTTGGTATTTGAACATGCCTCACCGAGGGAAACATGTGACAATAGCAGAAGATTAAGGAAAAAGGAAAAAGAAAAAGAGATGCACCTCAGTGACTTGCACCAGCTGACCATTGTCACAACAATGGCAACCAAGGACGCGTCGAATAAGAAAAGTGACGAGAAAGAAATATGGGTAAGCCAAATTAAACTCTAATAAGTCTTTTTTTTATCCCGCGTTAAGCAGCTGCATGTGGTGCACGCGACGCACAATGTCATGTGCTCGCCACGGGGTTGTCAAGACGGAGCCGCATCTTTTTTTTTGTGTTTGTCTTCGCCATGGGTTGTACGGAGATTTTTACTCTTTTCTATTTCGTTTTTTTACTTATGCCATTCTTATTTCCTATTTGTTCTGTGAGTTCTTGATGGGCAAGGGTTCCTTCCTGCTGTAGTAAAGAACAACCGAAGAAAAGAAAAGATGCATGCCGATCTCGATCAGACAGGCATGAGTTGAACGGCTGGACTGCATGGCCGGATTGACAAGGCCCCCCCCTGTGAAGAATCGTGTCCTTTGGAATACGACATACATACGTCGTAGAACAGCATATGTGGACTCGAGAAAAAAGAAGACGAGAAGCACAGAGGAGCTTGGTGGACCTTGGCCTGGTTGAATTGGGCTTTTCGTCTGATTACTCTCACTAAAAAGGGAATAGTAAACTACCAGGGAACAGCTGCGGTTGGCAGAGGACGGACGGATAGTTCATTAGCTCTGCCCTCCTTCATCCCCTGCACATGCACCTTGCCAGGTTAGGCCCAGGCCACTTTAACGAACCCTGGTTCTCCCGCCAGGCCATACTGAAAGCGGGTTTTCAAGCGAGGCAGGGAAGTGAGCGAGACAAGCCACAAACACAAAAAGAAACAAAAGGAAAAGAAGGAAGACGGGGAGAGAAACAAAGGAAGCAACGGAAGCAAGGGACGGGATGAGGGAAGCAAGGATCACAGGAGCAAGGACACACGGACGCTACGCACGGCGCAACGCACGTTCCATTCGTTTGTAAAGCTGGCAGGCACATCTTTTTCGTCTACATGTACGACGAACGGAGTATTACATGGTACAATAGTAAATTGGCAGTCCCTACGGAGATCCGGGGCAAGACAGCATGTCACGGTTCACCAGATGAACAGTTGAGCAGTTCAATGGCCTTCCACTTTACCCTGCGTGCCCTGCCATCTACGACGTGTCATATCTCATCCACAAAACCGGTCGTGGTGTGTGTTGTAGAACGGTTTTATCTGTCAAGACCAGAGTAGTAATTGCGCGGCAAGGAGGTGGCCATGCAAAAATCTGCAACGAAAAACCAAGGTGGAAGGCATCTTCATCGCGTATCATTTTACTTTTCTGTTTACTGTTCCGGACATCTTCTCTTTACTTTCGTGTTGGCTTTCGTACTTTTCGGGCCTCCGTATGTTTCCACCCACTCTCCTCGGGCTCCATCTCAGCTGACAGCTTCCAATGTTCCCACGCTTGTCTGCTCCGACATCGAAGCAACCATACGCGGCGAGATACATCCGTAAATTACGCAGTGCCCGATTCAAACTAGTCGCGCCAATAGTAGTAGGTCTAAGGCGAAGGCCGTTGAGAGAGTTGTTGCTCTTGTTTCGAACCTTTGCAATCACATGGAAGAGGGACGAGAAATGAGTCTTTCCACGGAACATGTCGTTATAAGCTGTGAGCTGTTCTTGTGTCCACCCAAGATGTTCTTGAAGATAGGGTCGGATGACAGGTGTCTTACACGGACTCTAAAGGGAAGACATGTCGAGAGACAACATTCGAAATAAAGGTGGCGCAAAAGATACACCTGCAATACCCCGTCGATACAAGCCACTAAGAATTACTCCTGTCCCTTTACTGTGTACAATCTCATTTCGTGTCGAGTGCCGGCTGGGACGCGCCCTTGCTCGACCCATGAGAAAAGAAACCACCTCCCTGTCTTCTACGTCTTGCCTGGGAAGAAGGATTTCCGGAGTGGTGTGTAGCCCAAATTGGACTCGATTCGCAACTTGTTCTTCGCGGAGTGTGATCTCTGTCTGTACGTCGTACCTGAAATAAAATACAAACTGCGGAGTCTTATTATTGTTCTCCTCGGGATTCACTTTTATTGACCCTTGCCCTTTAAGGTGCCAAAAGTGAGCATGGGTTCTGCCAAGCGTGTGGAAGCTCCCCCATCCGAGCTTCCTGCAACGCTTGGAGGATTGCTCGGACGGCCATGGAAGTGGGTAGGAAGGCTTGGTCTGTGGGTGTGGGATGGGGCTAATATTACAGAACGTACTGTGTACTAGGTGCTCAGTAACAATAGGTAGAGATAAAAGAAGATACAGTCCTAAAAATAGGGGAAAATAAGAAAGTGACGACGCCTTGCTGAATAAATGACAAATGGGCCCCGTCGAATTAAAAAGAGCATTGTGCTTCTTTGGGTTTGGCACTACAGGCACGGACAAGCTTTGCGTCGTCCTGCTGTGGGGAGGAGACGAAGAAGGGTGGAGAGCTGAGAGCAATATCATGGCCAAGCGCCCCGACCTCGAACCGTTCGTAGACGCAAGTCGTGGATGGTGGCCTGGGACGTCAAAGATGAAGGAGTCTGGCTACTAACCTATTGTCGAATTTGATATTATGTGCGTCGTACTTCGTACTTTGAAGTCGTATCACTTTGCCGTTTTGTAGAAATTCCTGTAAATATATGATTGTCAGATGTGCCTCCTGGTCATCATTTTTATTTCATCTCTGGCACCTTTCACTACCTTTTTCCTATTCAACTGTCAAGCTCAATCTTGCTCATTATCAACGAATACCAACCCGAGCCTCCTCGAAGAACAAAAACAGTCTCCGCCTGGTCCGCGCTCAACTTATCGACGCATTCGCACACGACAAGGCTGTCTGGAGCTTAATCCGGCGTACCAGCCAGCCTACTCACTTGTTCACGTCATCATATTTTTAAGTATTATTTCGTTTTTATTAGACACTTCATCTCGGCATATGAAGGTGAAGGCTACGCCTCAGGGGCCAACATCTGTTGGGACAGCAATCTATTGTGTTGCTGTAATGTCGCTTGTTTGCCTCGCAGCTTGCGGAAAATAACATCTAGCTGTTTGGCTCCGTCTCGGCGGCGTCTCCGTTTGTCTTTTTTGGGGGGGTTTTCGTGTTGTTGTTGCACAGATATTGTCTCACGTGTTGCAGTAATAGCTGTCAACTGTCATCAGCACAACGACGTTCCTTCCCCATCGACCTCACCGTTTGCCAGTGGCACCTTCTCGTATCCAGTCTGCTATTTATACACCCTTCGCACCTTCCGCTCCTGTCTCAGAACCATCTGCTTCCCTCAAGACATTTTCATTCTCTCTGTCTCCGTTACAACATCCCAACTCTTTTTGCCTTTACATACTTTGCCCATCATGAGCGGCAGCGGCGGATTCTACAAGTATCGATGCAAGTACTTTATGACACACGACTGCCCTAACTGGGTGTTTGTGAACTATGCACCTTGTGCCGACTGCTGTGTGAGTAGCCCCCTTCTTGTTTCCCCCCTACGGTGATCTCACATCTGACCATACTCAACAGGCTGCTGGACGGGACGCCGACGAAATGCGCGACGACGGTCAGTCGTCCGGCTTTTACCACAGCCACCACGCACTTTACGCAGCGGCACCCGAGTTCGAGATTGGCGTGCCCCTCTTCCAGGATGGTATCCTGAGCTACTCGCTGGCCCGCCTCACTTCGAGCCTCGAGCCAGGCTCCGACTTTGCCTCGTGGACGACCCACCAGCCGCCGATGTCTGCCGGCCTCTCGTCGTCCAATCCGTCTCAGGACGCGCCGCAGGGACAGGACTTTCAGCACGTTCACAGCGGCCAGAACCGTCAGCACGCGCCTTTCAGCAACGATCAGCAGTCCCATGGCTATCACCAACTGCGTCAAACACCCCAGTTCCCCCATCAGCCACATCCACCACCACAACTGATTAAGCTCCAGGGTAGCAGCCCGGGCAGGCAGACGGCAGAGATAAAGATGCAGCTGCCACCCCATGCTGCCATCAGAGCCTTCCCCGTGGCCACGGCTACGGGAGGCATTGGCGACGTGATGCCGACCGGCGCCGCTCCCGGTCTGCTTCTGTACTGAAGTGGTCTCGGAGAAAAGTGCCTAGAAAGAGTCTAGCACTCATTTGGCGTTTCTTTTGTCTTCTGTTTAATTGGTTTCTTCCTTCAGTCTTCCCAGTTTGCTTATTTGTATCATTTGTAATATTGAAATCTCACGGCCTTAACTGTATTTTGGAAGGAAAGGAGACGACAGTTTTCTACTGCAGGAGTTTGTCCCTCAAGGGAACCTGGACAAATATGTTGGACCATTTGTCTTTCGTTGATATTTTAGCGCTCTCTCCTGCAACTTTCTTTGTCTCAATGGATGTTCCTATTTTTATTCTCCTTTTTTGTCAGTGCCTTATTATGTTTTTTTTTTTTTGTTAAATTCCATCTCCATCATCATACCATCATCTACCTACATTAAAACGACATCGAATTAATCCTAATCAACGCGATGGCCTTTTACTTGTTACTTCCAGTCAGCGTCATTATTATTATGATTTTTCCTTTTAAATATTATGCATTTCCGTTTGATTTCTTATTTTCTTAATTTATTTGTGACAGAATACAAGGATGCCTCGCCAATGGCCTATCGTCCACAGTACGGTTGCAGCCGCCCAGTTTGGGAATGCAATCTATCAGGGGTTCGCGTTCACGAAAGCCTAAAATAGGTAAATAAAGGAAAGTGATAATGTAATTGCTATATCCCACAACATTCTAAAAAAGGGAATATGGACAAAATGGTATAGAGGAAACATTGGATCCTGCTGCCTATGACCGTCAGCATCCAATGTCCACAACCTACTTTTTGGGGGTTATTCTGAAAGTACGATCGTCTGGGCCGAAACTTCCGAAGAACCCTTCCAGGAAATCAGACTGAGGCCTTTATCGGGTGCAGAGGTGTTTAAATACCACCGGACGCTCTACATTGTAATGTGGTCAGTGAAAGGGAAAATAATACACGTCTCTTTTACTCTGTACTTTGGGCGTTGCTACGACGTGAGTGGGCCATGGTTGCAGAGAAGCAACGGCTACAAAATGCAACGGCTGTCTAAACCAAACGCTTTGCATATGCAACCACTTAACCAAATTTGTTAAGATAGACAGGCCCCCTCCGGGATTTTTCTTGAGGCAGACGTCCTCAAACTACAATGGGCAAGTCGTATTAGAAGCGCTTCGCACAATTTTACAGTGTTTAAGTGATTCTCAAGTGGGTTTAATCAGAGGGGAGTGATGCTTGTAACGGTGTTGGCGGGCGGGGTGGAGAAGACACTGACACGTCGAGGACCTGCATGGTATGTTAGCCCGTAAATATCAAAACAACACAACGACTTGGAAAGAGAAAGGGGAGACGTATCCTCTACCGCTGAGAGGGGCTGCTCATTCCGCACCATGTTGCAGGAGAGAAGAGCAGCCAGGACCGGCTTGCCACAAAAAGCACACGTCCTTTTCACCAAAGTTGTGAAGAAAATGAAGATGGCTGCATCATCGGCCGAGTAGAGAACTTGTCCCTCCTCCCCTATTTCAGAGACGACGATGCGACCTTCAACTCGTCCTCCCCTCTCCCCTTTCGACTCCATTCATCCCTTCTCACCTCCCCTCTCGCGAAACGATCTTGCTAGATTCGACAAAAAAGACACTGAACACCAAGACGAGTACGAAACTCTGACTCCAACTCAACGATGGGTCCCGGATGCTCGTCTCCCTGTCTGTCTCCAACGGAAGATGGGCTCCGCATGAAAGAGAAAAGAAAAGATGAGGGTGCTTGAAAGCGCAGAGTAATGGGAGAAGTGTCGATGGTAGCAAGAGGACCACTCTCGATTGCTTGACCGCGTGCAAGCCACTTCTTTTCTTCCCGGTCAGCCAGATTGCCCCTCAGACTAGCCTTGTCTCGACAGCTGCAACCTCGTCGCCCGAAGTGAAAGACCCATCGACCGAGCATGCGAGATACATCAGCCAACATACCCCCCAGAAGCATAAGGGACGCTTGCATCGTCAGACCATAAGCAGGAATTCGCTACCGTAGTTACCCGCCCCTTGGGATCATGGAGGCCACGATCCAATGTGAGCCACAAAAGAAGGTTGATCTGTCCGTAAAACATCTAGCCACGAGGGATAAGATTTTGATGGTTCCTTTTCCGTTGACGCTTTTGAAGAGACTCCAACACCCAGCGATGAAACTGGAACAGGTCTCAAGTTGCACGCAACAAGAGAATGAAGAGAAAGCCGAAAAGAATCCGTATTTGTTGAGCGCAGCCAAAATCACCCGTAAAAGCAAAAGCGCTGTCATCTCTGTGAGGGGGAAGTCTCCTGGCGCAAGTGGGGAAAGACCGTCATGCGAACTAGGGGACCCAGAGATATAAAAGGACTAAAGGAATCTTGAGCGGCTGATCGGTGTTGCGACTCTTGCAGGAGACGCGACAGGCGGGCCGACATCAATATCCTTTATTTGTGGCGCCTTCACAACCCAGGCACATATTTCAGCGCGGGGGCCGGTAGTGAAGCTAATGCGTCTGGTCGGAAGGGGGTCACGTTGCCACATGCAATCGACTTCCCATCTTCGCGTCTATGGACAGCGGTAAAACGGAAAGGGACGACATGGGCGAACGACCCGCCGTCTTTTTGCACAGGCAGAACCGCACAAGAGGACAGGACGGAGCCGGTGGAGGTCGGAGCGAGACGGGGGCGGGGCATGAGACAGCAGCGACCGCAAGAGTGTGATAATATTTTCCAGATCCTGCACGGAGCAGCCCAAGAGACTTGGAGTACCGGGGAACGTGACAACGAAAGGCGAATATGAAAGGCCCAACAGCACGGTGTTTCCCGCGCGTAGCCGACTACTAGTTGCCCGACAAAAAAATGAAAATGAAACACCCATGCTGTTGCCGTTGTAGCCAATGTTGCGTTCCACTCCGCCCTGGGAGGTATAGCGAAAGGAAAAAGAGTACCACGCGGTGAGGCTGCTGTTGTCTGTTGTGCCTCCATAAAAAAATGTCGTGGTGCTTCTCGACAATTCGCCACGCGGCAACCCAAACAAGATTGTTGTGTCGACCAAGGATTGTGGTATCTTTCCAGCCACGCTGCCTGACGAGCGACCTCAGGCCAGAGGTTCTTATCATACTGGCTCATGGGTCCACGTTCCTTGCCTACCGGGATATGACATCCCAGTAACTGGAAATTTCTCTGCCCCTGAGGGTAGTGGCTGTCGCTCTCCCATTCAAGTCGCCCCTGTGTGCCGTACCGGTCACCACGAAGCGGCTACCCCGTCTACCAAGCACCCTTGAACCACTTTTCAGCGGCGAGGCCGGGACCGGGCAGAAATGCAAATGGTGGGTAGCAGGGTGCCGTTCCGTTTTCGATTCTTTTCAGAAAAGAGTGGGAACGGAGTTCCCCACGACCACCATCCACGCAAGGTAGACCACGACAGGCTAGAAAGCTTTGGCAAGCACGGGGAGGAGAAGAACGGTCAGAAACCAGCACTGCGAGAGTGAACCAAAACGGACGCAAAGCTGGCCAACACCTTTCGGTGCAGACCCTTTCCACGTGTACTTAGTTAGGGTTAAGCAACGGTGAGTCCCGCTAAACTTTGGGTGTGGCAGTACGATGGGTGACAGATCAGGTCTCTTTGGGCGGGCGAAAATCGGTCGTGATGGCTTTTGTTCTGTGTTGACGGGCAGACTTTGTCCAGGTCGTAGGACCTTGTACTTATCGAGGGCACATTGCTCTCCCTGGGCCCGGGCATCGGAGGAGATTCGATTGTCGTAGTAGTCTGGCGAGGCTTTGTCTGGTGATGGGGAGAAAGAACGAAAAGGAAAACGAAAGAAAAGAAGGAGAGCTCGTGAGGAAAGCAAACTGTGGGTAGTGTTTACTTACGCGACGCGCAGCCAATCACGCGTCGAGCTTGGGACAGCTCCAACGCTTATCTCTTTCCTCGTTAGACAGGAAGGGTCACGTGAAGTGTTTGCACTCCAGTATGTCACTTCTACTTTACAATAAAATTGAGCAGCACCTCCCAACTCTGAGTATCTCTTGCGTTGTACATTAAGACGATTTTTAACAATGTATTGATCTTTTCATTTACTATGCTAGATAGCAATAAGAGCCGCGACGTTGAAGGAAGAGCACTGTGGCAAGTCCATAGCACGCTTTGAATGTCAAGAGTGATGCATTGTGCAGACCCACTTGCAACACGTGATCGGCAAAATGGACCAATTAGATGGCGTTATATCCTCTCTTCCTGCGCCTCTTCTCGTATGAATTCCAGGCAACGCCTGAGAGCCTTCAGCCGCCCACCTCCGAAACGTCATCGCCTCCTCTCGAGATTCCACAGTCGACGGTTCGACGTTCGACATCCACCGTCTGCTGCTTACCCCGTCCCAACGACCGTCCATCTTTCGCGCAGCGCAAACTCTCCGCTCTTCCTTTGATTGCGTCTTCGACCATTGTTTATTCCACAACGGCCACATCCAGCAATCGGCAACGACGACAAATATCTCGCTCCAATCGCCCGAATGTCGTTTGATCAGCTCTCTTCAATGGAGGCCGGCCGCCGGCGCGGCGGTGGCGGCAGCGGCGGACAGTACTCGGACGACCCAGACTTTCAGAATCTCGCGCAGCAGCTGAGCAACAAGCTGTTCAAGCTGCAGGGGAACATTGCCAACCTGAGCCGCGATATTGGCCATCTGGGCACCCGGCAGGATAACGCGCGCGTGCGCGAGCGTGTCAACGACGTTCTTGAAGAGTCGCGCGAGATGTTCAAGGAAGTCGGTGAGGGTGTCAAGAAGGTGCAGGGCTGGGATGATGTGACGGTAGGTTCGACCACTGTGCTTTACACGAAATCTTGAAAAGACAACAAACGAACTGCTAACAGTTTAGCCCACGCAACGGTACCAGCAGCAGAAGCTGTCCCGCGAGTTCCAGGGCGCCCTGTCCGAGTTCCAGACCCTGCAGCGGCAGGCACTTGAGAAGGAGAAGGCGTCCGTGTCGGCAGCGCGGGCAGCTGCCGATGAGGGCGGCGATGCATCTGGCGGCACGACTGGC